CTAGTAGCTACCTCTCTTCTACTAGCTACCTCGGCCGTAAAAAAGAAACACCATCAATTAAAACAAATAATTGTCAGCAATATAAGAACTAAGAATTATAACAAAATTGCTACTAGGAACACGTGCATCGCTTCTAGTAACAAGTGCCTTACTATTAGGAACAAGAAGCTATTAGAAACAATAAGAACGTTTAAATAAGAAGCTACTAGGAACAAGTGCATCGCTACTAGTAACAAGTGCCTTACTACTAGGAACAAGAAGCTAGTAGAAACAATATGTAAATAGAAACAAGAAGCTACTAGGAACAAGTGCATCGCTTCTAGTAACAAGTGCCATACTAGTAGTAACAAGAAGCCATTAGAAACAATAAGCTACTAGGAACAAGTGCATTGCTTCTAGTAACAAGTGCCATACTAGTAGTAACAAGAAGCCATTAGAAACAAGAAGCTACTAGGAACAAGTGCATCGCTTCTAGTAACAAGTGCCTTACTAGTAGTAACAAGAAGCTATTAGAAACAATAAGCTACTAGGAACAAGTGCATCGCTTCTAGTAACAAGTGCCTTACTAGTAGTAACAAGAAGCTATTAGAAACAAGAAGCTACTAGGAACAAGTGCATCGCTTCTAGTAACAAGTGCATCGCTTCTAGTAACAAGTGCCTTACTAGTAGTAACAAGAAGCTATTAGAAACAATAAGAACTCTTAAATAACATTCTATCTAGATTCTTTTTTAATTCTAATTGGCTTTTTTGTTACTAGTAGTAAGGCACTTGTTACTACTAGCGTGGCACTTGTTACTCGCGCTCCGCTCTGGGCGTCATGACGTGAAGTCCACTGACCAACGGCCGGGTTTCTCCATCGACGGGGGCGGCGCAGGTGCGGGCACAGCCGGAGCCGACGGCGGCTCCCAGCCTCGGGAGAAGGTGTGGAGAGTAGTTTAAAGTCGTTTAAACAAGTAGTAGCGTCCTTGCTCCTAGTATGGCCAGGAGCCCCTAGTAGCGTCCCAATATACTTATCTATATTAAACAATGATGTTATTGTATATTTTTTAAAATGTGAAGACATTTTAAAAAAGGCTAAGCTGTGAATAGACGCTTGGCTCCATTCCCGAACAAACGCTGAACGATGTTATCCGGTTGTGATTCGCCATTTGTGGCCGTTGTGGTACCCGCATTTCTCACACCATTGTGGGACATAGTGATGAGCCAGTTGACTGGCAGTTGAATCCGGCTTCTGATTTTGTCATCCCAGCACGCAGTTGCCACTTACCACCGCGCTTTTTTATGATGCTTCATAAGCAATGTGATTGATCGATTTCCAAATCCATCGATGACCCTCGGGATATTCGGGATCCCGGTTGGATCGGATCGGAGATCTCGGAGTGTTTTGTGATCTCGGGCCACCTCTCTCTTTCCCTCTGTCTCGACGTGGTCACGGACTCTACTTTGAACGGTTTCGCTTGATTGGCACAACAGAAAGCTACTAGGAGCAAAGGGCATCGCTACTAGGAACAAGAAGCTACTAGGGGCTCCTGGCATCGCTACTAGTAGCAAGATTTGCACAACCGAAGTGCACATCAACGGCCCCACCAACTCCACAATGCAAATTATAAACTGATCTGCCTCCTGATGGCACAGTCTTAATTTTTCGTACTGCTTTTTCGCCACTATTTATTGTAAGGACTTGAAACTGAGCAGCCTGAGTTGATCAACACGTCAACATGTCGTAAAGAAACATACGCCGTGAATTTGCAGCATTGCAAACACAAGAACAGCAAATTGACATCTGACATCATCCTAGTAACAAGGGCATCGCTACTAGTAGCAAGAAGCTACTAGGAGCAAAGGGCATCGATACTAGGAACAAGAACGCTACTAGGGGCTCCTGGCCTTACTACTAGGAGCAAGAAACTACTCGGAACAAGACACAAGGACGTGACATCAAAGATCCCATCTGGTCTGCACACTCTTTCCAGGCTCCTAGCTCGACTCGCCCGTGGTCACATTAGCATAAAAGGTCTTCCCGGTCTCAGGGTCCTCCACAAGCAAACATGCCTGTGAAATCGGCCTGACTGCATGGAAGCTAGTAGTAACAAGAAGCTACTAGGAACAAGTGCCTTACTTGTAGTAACAATAGCTTCCACCTCTTTGAGCTATTGACACTTTTCCCACCTGATGGGCTGTCCAACCATCTGGAAGCACCACAGCTGGCGCTGGGGGTTCCCAACTCGTCTCGCCTGTCCTCGGGAAGGAACGGGACGACGGGACGACGGGACGACGGGCGGACCGCGCTGGATGGTCGATGGTAGCGGTGAGTGGAACAAAGGCATCGCTACTAGTAACGGCATCCAGCTACGTTCGCTAGAAGCTACTAGCGGCTCCTGGCCATACTACTAGGAGCAAGGATGCTACCAGGGGCTCCTGGCCTTACTACTCGGAACAAGAAGCTACTACTAGCTAGAAGCTACTAGTAGCGATGCCATTGCTAGCTGAAACAAGTCGCAAGCGTTTTCCTCGGAATTGTAACGACTCGGTTCGACTCTGAGAGGCGCGCATGGGGTTCGCATAGTAAGTGCGGCCTGGCTTGAAGTGCAAAAGCCCGCTAGGCGACGAGTAAGATCGGTCAGGCATTAGTATATCTTAGTAGCTTTCTTGTTACTACTAGTAAGGCCAGGAGCCCCTAGTGGCTTCTTGTTACTACTAGTAAGGCACTTGTTCCTAGTAGCTTATATCTTAGGAAGTGATCAGTACGATATTTAAAAAGTCTTAGACTCGGACGCGTAAGGGTTCAGGGAAGGAGCCTGAGCCTGAATGATGTGGTGACCTTTAGGAAAACTTAAGCAACTATGCCTCAACGTTCGCAAATGCAAGGAGGAAAGGCTGGGTGAGGTATGCCAATGCGAAGCAACGCAGCCGTTCCAAAAAAAATCACGACCTTTTTTGTTGAAGAGATTTTGGGGGGTCGACGCAATTTTCATGGACTGGTGCGATTTGTGTTGCCCATTGGATATATAATTTTCTCTCATTCTTGGTTGGAGGCCATCGCCAGCAGGATGGAGGCCATCGCTAGTAGGGTGGAGGCCGTTGCTCTCGGGGTGGAGGCCATCGCAAGTAGGGTGGACCGGAGGCCATCGCTTCTAGGTTGGAGGCCATCGCTATAGCGGGCGGGGCTTCCTATCGAAGGAACGCTCTGGTGATCCGAGCGCCGATCCGATGCAGGTCCACCCTCGCAAATCACATCCGTCCGCCCCTACAGTAGCATGGCCAGGAGCCCCTAATAGCTTCTTGTTACTACTAGTAAGGCACTTGTTACTAGAAGCGATGCACTTGTTCCTGGTAGCTTCTTGTTACTAGTAGTAAGGCACTTGCTACTAGAAGCGATGCACTTGTTCCTAGTAGCGTCCTTGCTCCTAGTATGGCCAGGAGCCCCTAGTAGCTTCTTGCTTCTAGGGTGGGGGATTTGAAAGGGATGACCTAAATGATCCAACGGGGCCTCCCTCCGATTTGATATAACAACGGTGACCCGGACGACCCAACACTTGCAAGACAAGCTCAAGGTATCGCCCTGAGGGCTTTCGTGATATGTGACCCTTATAGCAACTTAGTACCCTAGAGTGCCATATAGCTCACATGAACACAATTGTTCTTCTCTGAACGCCAAGGCGACTGGACTTGATATTGAGTCTGCGTTCTGAGCTAACTTATCAGTTATATTTTTGATTTCTATGTTTGTTTCTCTATTAAATATGCATTATCGGAATCACAAGCTCAAGAGTTCAAGTGTATCGTTTGCTGTTGATATTCTTGTCGCAAGCGGCCATTTTTGATGTCTTGCATTGTCTTGCTTTGACCCTACCAGTTGCGTCCGAAGCAATGTGGCTGTCCCTCATGGCCATGTCTTCTTCCACAATCTCAAGCGTCTTGTCCCGCCTTGATCATCTTGATAGGCACCCCAACCCTCTGGCAACGCCTCAGCCATCACCTCAAAGAACCCAAAGGAGACGAATTTCGACAAAGGGTGACACCATCACATTGGACAATCTAGTTAAAGCAGCCAATAGTCAAGCAAAACAGTGCAAAATACCAAGAGATTGACAAAGGTGCAACCTAAGATGTACACAGTTAGAAGCTTGACTGTTGTGATTAGGTTGGGGGCCATTGCTTCCATGCTTTAAATTGCTTTTCATCTTCCATTCATTGCACATCGTATCAAATCGTCAAAACACATTTCTTTCGTTCAATTTTGCTACGGCGCCTCAAACGCCTCCGGCACGCAGAAAGAGGTGCGGCGCAGGCAACGGGAGCCAAACGGGCCAAGCAGCTGAGGACCAAACGGATGGAAGCAGTCGTGGCAGCTGAGGAAGCAGTTGTGGCTTCCTTTCCCTTTAAAGCCAAGATCCCATTAAGCATTTCTATCAATCTATACTTTTCTTGTTTCTCTAGACCTTTCTACTTTTTGCTTTCATGTCTTCCATCTCACAAAAAATGTGCACCCTTGTGTTTTTGTACTTGTCAAGAGGGAAGCACACGGACTCGACAAGAACCTCTTCCATGTTCACGAAAGCACATCTGAGACTGACGTTCGGTGTGGCATGTGCACCAGGAACTCGTTTGAACTTTCCGTTGTTTGGAACTATTCCAGTGATTTGGCTTGCCTTTTCGTGTGCACTCGTTGCTCGTGTTGCACTTTGAAGCGCTCCTCTTTGGAAGCGAAAACAACTCCGTCCCAAAGCCGCTGCCGCTGCTTCTCTGTAGAGTTCGTGGAAGAACGGACTTCAAATAAACACCAGAAGCGCAATAGAATACACGCATAATTCACCATTTGATCGCTTTTGACACGTCTATCCTAGTGAGCACTTGCGTGAGAGAACTATGGCAGTGATGAAGCATAGAAGGCTTCCAGACTTCATATCATAGTCACTTTGACATCCTTTTCATTTAGGTAGGAGGCCATTGCTATTGGGGAGGAGGCCATTGCTTCTTGGTAGGAGGCCTTTTCATTGTTTTCATTCTTCCTCCGCCTTCAGTTCGCTTCCAGAAGCCTTGGCCGTAGCCTCAAATGAGGCTCCACACACCTGGCGTGATGTCATCCGGCACATGGCCCAGTCGTGGATGGCATGAATTCAATAAGCAAAGAAAAAGGTGACCTTACCCGAAGAATTTCTATTTGGAAAGCCTTTCACTGTGAGTTCAGTACGTGTCTTTGGGGTGCAAACCTAGCTGTCTCTCCACAAGAAAACCAACCCACGCATTCAACATCGAGCAAAAACATAACATGTACAGAATCTGAACATAAAACAACAAATTCTGGAGCGACGAAATCCTTGCTAGTAAGTCAAGGTCTGACGAACGGTTTGAATCTACAAATCGCTTTTGCATGGATGAAAAAGAGGATCCAAACCATCTTTCTGTGCTTTCGTGGCGGGCTGTGGCGGGCCGTGGGGGGCCACGGCACTCGGTGGACGAAGTGATTTGGTGGCATTTGGTGAAGCGAATTGCAGATTTCGTGAATTTTGATGTCAAACGGCGCAGCGCTGCATGAAGCTTGGCACATTCTGTGAACATTTAGATTCATGCATGCGCGCTCTCATGTGTCGCTCTCATATGTGTATGCTATCATATGTATGGCACTCTCATTTTGCGATCTCATGTGAGTGCTGACCTGAACATCACGACAAGAAAAAAACAAACAAGAACGAGGCGACGAAAGGACCAGGCCATCAAAGAAACCAGGAAATCACAGGCGACAAAGAATCAGTGTTGAAAAGGCGTTCTATATTGCAGGGTGGCATGCAGTGGGTTGACCTTGCCATATTCTTCCGGTGTATGTGGTTGCTTGATGTTTGTTGACCTTCAGAGGTGCTGTTTGTGGGCTTGTAGGAGCAAGAGAGCGAGATATCGCGCTGAGAAGGCAAAGGATAAGATGATCAGAACGGGGAAATATTCTTTATGATGTACATGCCCATCCTCCAGTGATTGTGACAAGGGGAGATACAGCATGGCCAGCAGGAAGCAACATTTTTGTATACCACCGCTAGTAGGTTGGAGGCCATCGCTACTAGGTTGGAGGCCCTCACCAGTACGTTGGAGGCCATTGCTCGGAGGTAGGAGGCCATCGCTAGTAGGTTGGAGGCCCTCGCTGGTAGGTTGGAGGCCATGGCTAGTAGGTTGGAGGCCATTGCTACTAGGTTGGAGGCCATCACTAGTAGGTTGGAGGCCATTGCTAGGAGGTTGGAGGCCATTGCTAGGAGGTAGGGGGCCATCGCTAGTGGGTTGGAGGCCCTCGCTAGTAGGTTGGGCCACTGCTACTAGGTTGGAGATGGTTGGAGGCCATCGCTCTTATGTTGAAGGCCGTCGCTAGTAGAATGGAGGCCATTGCTGGGAGGTTGGAGGCCATCGCTAGTACGTTGGAGGCCATCGCTAGGAGGTAGGAGGCCATCGCTAGTAGGTTGGAGGCCCTCGCTGGTAGGTTGGAGGCCATGGCTAGTAGGTTGGAGGCCATTGCTACTAGGTTGGAGGCCATCACTAGTAGGTTGGAGGACATTGCTAGGGGGTTGGAGGCCATTCCCTCGCTAGTAGGTTGGGCCACTGCTACTAGGTTGGAGATGGTTGGAGGCCATTGCTCTTAGGTTGGAGGCCATTGCTCTTATGTTGAAGGCCATCGCTAGTAGAATGGAGGCCATTGCTGGGAGGTTGGAGGCCATCGCCAGTAGAAAGAGACCATCGCTATTAGGTTGGAGGCCATCGCTAGTAGGTTGGAGGACATCGCCAGTAGGTTGGAGGCCATCACTAGTAGGTTGGAGGCCATTGCTAGGAGGTTGGAGGCCATTGCTAGGAGGTAGGGGGCCATCGCTAGTGGGTTGGAGGCCATTGCTAGTATGTTGGAGGCCATCGCTAGTATGTTGGAGGCCATCGCTAGTAGGTTGGAGGCCATCGCTAGTATGTTGGAGGCCATTGCTACGAGGTTGGAGGCCATCGCTAGTACGTTGGAGGCCATTGCTACGAGGTTGGAGGCCATCGCTAGTACGTTGGAGGCCATTGCTAGGAGGTTGGAGGCCATCGCTAGCATGTTGGAGGCCATCGCTAGTAGGTTGGAGGCCATCGCTAGTATGTTGGAGGCCATTGCTAGGAGGTTGGAGGCCATCGCTAGTATGTTGGAGGCCATTGCTAGGAGGTTGGAGGCCATCACATCAATGAAGCATGACGGCGCCCCTGTCCTTGTTTCGAGAGAAAAAGGTTCTTTTTCAACGAGTGCGCCGTTTCGGCGATCGAATTTTGAAGCGTCGCCAGGGCATCGGCCAGAACTTCACGGCTTTGCCTGGCACGAAACGCTCAGCACAAAACAACTTTTATATCTTTTCTTGATTGGGTATATATCAAGGAAAAAGCAAAGCGCCCAAAGACCTTTCCTCACTTATTCTGCAACCTTTAGACTGGACCTCTCTTTACTCTCTTCTTCCCTTTTTCTTTTTGTTGTGTTTGCCGTGAGAGGTCCCACCCAGTTGATCCGTCTTTGGCTAATTCTCCGTGCAACTTCTGGGCTCTCTAGAAAACAAACACTTTGTCGCTCGGAAACTTCTGTTCCGCAAGCGCCAACACCTGTGAGGCTTTACAGTTTGGGGAGCTGATCAGGGCCGACAGCAGCAAGCACCAACGCTCTGATTTTCAATGTTGTCTTTTGGGGTCTGGTCTAGTGCATGTCCTTTTTCGAAACATGTCGCGGACGGCTGCTGTGGAAGACGTGTAAAGTTCAGCACATTGTTGTTAGATCCAAGGGCTGTGGTTAGAGGCTTTGTCCCTTCCGAACAACATGAGGGGCAACATGAAAAAACTCTCCATGTCCGTGTAGTAGCACAATGCACTTCACTGCAAACTATTGCACACATTCATCACTCACCCAGCACGTAGACACATCCACAAAAAGACTCGGCTACCTACAAACAGGAACCTCTTTCCACTTGTATGTTTAACCACCATCTCTTCAAGACATTCTCTCTTGTCTAAACCTGCACCCTCTCCAAAATCTTAGACGGGTAACAGCCAACAGCAACAATTGTCATATACCGGACCGCATTTCATTCAATTAGCTTCAAGGCGAAAGACCGCATCATCAATAGAGAACATGTACCGAATAACACTGGATTTGTTGAGAAAAGGTAAACCTTGAGAGGTTTTTATGCTGTCTTGCAGCTAAGTTTGAGCACGCGGATGGGCGTGGTATTTCTCATCGGCGGCCTCTACTGCGACATGAAATCGGACATTTTCTCATTTTTCGTTTTGGAAGTAGCAAGGACGCTACTAGGAACAAGTGCATCGCTAGTAGTAACAAGTGCCTTACTAGTAGTAACAAGGACGCTACGAACGGGGCTCCTGGCCTTACTCCTAGGAGCAAGGACGCTACTAGGGTGTCTAGAGGTGCACAGGGGATGAACAGTCGGAAAGGACTGGTTTCCATCGGTGTGGGACCGTTTCGAATGTCACACGGAGGGCGCAGTGCGGTGCAAGAGTGCCGAATCAAAAACCCCCAAAAAACGGTGTGCTTTCACTGAACGTGAAGCGAGTGTGCCATCAATTTCGCGTGGTCTGCAGACTGCCATCTTAGTGTGCCATCTTTACGTGTGCCAGAAAGTAAAGATTTGAAAGATTTGCGGCTCCGGTTTCACCGTGGTGGCCGGCAACTGTAGGAGTTGCTTCTCAAGAACGCCTTCAATGTGGCGCTACAAAACACGCGGCAACTTTCCCCGATGCGCTTCACCCAACCCAAGACCCGCAGCAACTCACCGTAGTTTTAACAAGAAGCTACTAGGAACAAGTGCATCGCTACTAGTAACAAGTGCCTTACTAGTAGTAACAAGAAGCTAGTAGAAACGCGTTTCCCCCGGCGTTGGAGATTGCGAAGTAGAGGTCCGGGAGGGCGGAGGGGGTACCAATTTTCAGCTAAACATTAAACGCAAAGACTTGTTTCTAATAGCGAACCTGGTTACTACTAGTAAGGCACTTGTTACTGTCTTGTTTTTCTTGCAGTTTTTCTCCGTTCTCTTCACAACTCCACAAACAAGATCTGAGTTCTGAGCTACTTTTGGCAGGAACACACAAAACTTTAAAAGTAGAAAACGCTGGGCGTTTACGGCCCAAATTCCTATGGGTAGAGCTGCAAACCAAAACAACAAACACGGACAGTGTCCGAGATACAATCCAGCCTCAACCTGGAAACTTTGTTTGTATTTAGGCCTTAGCCTTAGCACATTTTTGCCCGGAACATTGATTATTTTGACATATTTGGTCTTTAGGCTTTTCTGCTCTCACATTACAGATTTTTGCGTGTTGTCATCCCCGACCCCCAGGAATTGCAAAGAGCACACTGCAAAACATTGGCTTCATTGAAATTTGGCTTCACTTGTTTCTTCTGTCCCTTGAAGAAGTAGCTGCTCCTTGTTGGAGGGCTCCCCTGCAAAAAGCAACATTTGCCATCCATGGTTGAGCCGCCAACCTCTATATAGCTTAGAAGCATCCTGCTTTATATGACCTTTGTGCTAAACAAATTTCATTCTTACACTCTTCCTCTTCTTTCACGGAAGTGGACAACCACGCTTGGATGATTCCAGGTAGTATAAATTGTATGCCTTTTCCAACAAATCCTTTCAAAGAAAAGAACAGGTCATCCTTGGCGGTCTTTTTGAGATCTTCTCCTTTGCAGTTTCTTTCTGAACTTCATCTGGAATAATTACAACCAACTCCCCCAAAAAAACATATTCCTTTACAAAGTCCCATATGTCAACAACAGTTTTGCGGAGCTTAATTTGTTGCGACCCATCCTCAGTTGAAGGCTGCCCTTCTTTCACAGGTCTATTCACTTCCCAATTACCAAAAATTCCTTCCATTTATGTCCTTTTACTTGTCTCCTACCATGGGACAACATGTGAACCATTGTGCAACATGTGGTGCTTTCTGCTTTTGGCTCTGCAAGTGCAGTCTTTAGCCGTCCTAAAGAACTAGCAGTGTTCGTTCCTCGTTTTTTGTTTCTCACTTATTCCGTCCTTTTTCACAATTCATCCGCGGCAACACCCTTTCTCTGTAAATTATATGGAGTTGCCCTTTTGGTTGAACCCCCTCCTCCATGCAATTGACAGTTAAAGTGTCATTCTGTATTAAACGTATTACTGACTCCAATAAACACATTGTGATTCAATCAATCTCAAGTCTCTTCCCCTCTCTGATGCTGATACTTCAACTTTTGCCAACGCCTCATCAACATGGTTTTAAAGCATCGCACAGAAGCGATGGCCTCCACCCTAAGAGCGATGGCCTCCAACCTACTAGCGATGGCGCTCGGTGGAGACCTAACGGTGGCCTCCAACCTAAGAACGATGGCCTCCAAACAATTCTGTGACATTCAGATTAACTTTATGCGTTCTACCGGCAAAGGAAGGTAGCTATGCTGCAGCATCATTGCCATTCGTTGGTTCCTTGCCGCGCTCAATGCCTTGCGCTGTACAAATGTCCAACATGTTCTTCAGGTCTGGGAATCACATTTTGCTTCACCATTGCCGTGGATGCACCCGTTTATGCAAGCGCCATAGCTTCGAGGTAGCAATCTGTGACCGTTCCAAAATGAGGAAATTGACAAACAATAACGATATTTTTTAAGAAGAAACATGCTCAAATTCAGTGTTTTCGCTGACCAGCTTAGAGGGAATGGCATGGTTTGATAAATGATATCCTTCCTCGTGATGCAACACCAGCAAGCAGCCTTGGCTTTAGCGTGCTCTAACAACACTTTCTGCTGAATGGCCTACTGTATGTGCTTTAAAGAGGGCCTTCATAGAGTTTGAAGTTTTCAGTTTACTCGACCAACATTACATGGGTTCGGACTTGCAGATGTTCCCTTGTTCACTATGGGGCAAGCTGCCAACAAACTGTTTGGCTCTACTTCACACGAAACCCACATAGAACACTCGGCACAAGCATCACTGTACAGCAAAAGGTGATGCACTCTTGGCTCTATTTATGGCCACGTGGCCGTCCAGATATGAATTTCGAGGCCATTGCTCTCAGGTTGGAGGCCATCGCTAATAGAAACAAAACAAAAGAACAGGAAGAAAGGGTGATGCACTCTTGGCCCTATTTCTGGAACATGAATTGCACTGTTTAGAGCCGTTTAGAGCTTAAAACTCTTTCTCACTATGAAACACGCCCCAGCATTTCTTATTAACTCCCCATGCACTGCTCACAGGGTGGCTCACAGGCACCTTGATGTGAATTCGACAAGAAAAGCACCAAGACCTGGCACAACGACTGCAACGCATCGTTTGACTATTTTGATTTCCTTTCCTGTATTTCTATTTCTCACGACTCATACAATTGTGGCCGCGCACCGCAGTCATGTTGTCACCACCTTCAAAAACAATCCAAGACAAGCACATGTCTCAAAACTCAATGAGAGAGATTAAGCAAAGCACCCAAGCCAGCAGTCGATGCCAAATCAGGTGATAAACAATGATCCAAACTCGGATGAGTGGCAATGCGGCATTGGGGTTGAAATGGAGCAAAGCACGCCATCTTCAATGCTAAAATGGACTTTACCGCAAAATCAGATGACAAAGAATGCAAACTGCCCAAATCTGTGACAACGCATCGTGAGAACAGCCTGAAATGGATATCCAAAAATTGGACAAATGTAATGTTTTGATAAACCGATGCATTTCCAAGTGACAGTTGGCTCAGAATCTCCGAGCCCTTCAGCTTTCCCGTGGCGATCCGCCAACCCCAACCTCGTCGGATCGAAATCTCCGGTTTCAAACGAAAACCCAGCTGCTCTCAGTCGCTTCTTATTGCTACTAGCTTCTTGTTCCTAGTAGTAAGGCACTTGTTACTAGTAGCGATGCACTTGTTCCTAGTAGCTTCTTATTTCTATTTACTTATTGTTTCTACTAGCTTCTTGTTCTTAGTAGTAAGGCCAGGAGCTCCTAGTAGCAAACGAAAACCTTCTCTCTTTGTTCCGGGCTCTTGGGATCACCCAGCTGCTGACGCACAAAGTCCACCGCTGCCTGGCTGCTGAGCACGTCCCAAACCTCAGAAGATCCATGTTTGGTGCAAGAGAGCAACTTGCACACAGCGACTGCAACCGGATTGCGTTGCCGTATCAAGGGACCAAACATAGAAGCCACAAAGGATCGGGGGTCGGGCCCCGTTGCTGCCTTGTCTCTCCACTTGTTTGCCTGTGTGGTCGGTGTTTGCCCGTGCCGCTGCTGCCTTGTCTCCAACGAGGGTCCCATACGGCAGTTTCGCTACAGCCTTATCCCATGTGGCGTCCGATCGCTCCGTTCGTAGCGATGCCCTTTGCTCCTAGAAGCGTCCGATCGCTCCTAGTTCTTGGCGCTGAAGCTTGAGGAAAGGCTGCAGTGCCGAGATTCACTGAAGTGTCTCCCCGCTTGCCTTCCTGTGCTTTTAGAGCTACTTGGTATCTTGGGCTTGTGCCGAAGTGGACATTGTGCCGAAGTAGACTGTTGAGGTCCGAGCCTGCCCACTGCGCTCTGGCACTTGCTGTTGAGGTCCGTGACTGCCCACTGCAATCTGGCGCTTGGTGTTGAAGTCCGAGACGCCAGAGCGCAGTGGGAGCCTCGGACCTCAGCAGCAAGCGTCCACACAACACACAACGACAAAGCACAACCACAAACACACAACCAACAAGCTCACAGGGCCCGCCCACCAACTATCTTCATTTTATGACTAACGCCAGGCCCTGGGTGCCTGGGTTCTGGGTGCTGTGCCTGCGGGGTTCCGCGGCGTTTCTCTTCTACTACGATGATTGCTGCTACTACTACTACTACGACGACTACCACTACCAGTATAATTATACCACTACTACTGCTACTGCTACTGCGACACAACTACACAACCACAACGCAACACAACACTAAGTTACCTGTGTGTGTGGCATTTTGCGTGGCAGGTGGTCACAGGGTCGCACTTTTGGATGCCAACTGGAGACCCTGGCGACACCCCACCCAAAAACAACATCGAGAACCACAAAACCCCCGACCATGGCAACATGCTCTTCACCACTGATTGACATGTCATGGTGGGGATCACTCGAAGTAAAGCAATTTAGTGCTTTTGCATGTTGAGCTGCTAGTGAAAAACTCAAGTTGGTCGGCGTTTTCTGCTTTTGAAAGGGCGTTGCCCGCCGGCCCCCTTCGCTTTGCCGCGAGCATGGCGAAGGCCAAGAGGGCACAAGGTCCAGTTGGGCTGCAAAGTACGTCTGCAACTTGGCGAGCGCCATGTCGGATCGTCGAACCACAGTGCGTTTGCAACTTGCCTTCCGTCTCCTCGACTTAGGAATTCAGCTTCGTTCGGCTTCAACGCTGGTTCTAAGCTTCCGCACCCCATCGCAAGCCAACAAAAGGAATTCGTCAGTGTTACCCCTGGAAGAAGAAATGAGCTGCGTAAATTCCTTCTGTTCTATGGAGGCCATCGCCAGTAAGTTAGAGGCCATCGCTATCAGGTTCCTTTTGCTCTTAGATCGGAGGCCGTTACTAGTAGTAAGAATAAGCTAGTAGTAACAAGTGCATCGCTTCTAGTAACAAGTGCCTTACTAGTAGTAACAAGAAACTATTAGTAGCGTCCTTTACTTTCTCCTTCCACTTTCGTTTCAAGCTTTCACTTCCGCCTCGTGATTGAGCGAATCTCTGGCACCGCGCTAACCTGGGTCAGTGACGCGGCAACGAGGCGTCAAAATTGTCACCAAAAACCATGGAAACCGGTGGAAAATGCACGGAAATCCCTAGTAATTCAAAATTTAACAACAATCTGAGGAATGCTACATGAGAACATGATCATACAAAGTGGTCGGACACAAAAGCACTATGGTGCCTGGGGCTTTGCCAGAGGCCACGGGTTTTCGGTCTTCAAAAGTCTTCGGAACATTTCAGGGTTGTCTGATTTCCTTTCACCTGGCTCCGTCATCTCATCTTGTACTGTCTCTTCTATCCTTGCATACTTTGGAACATGTTCGATCTCTTCCGTTCCATTGGTTTTTTGAATTTAAACATCTTCTTTTTCCCTTAGCTCCCGCATTCGTTGGGGCCTGAGAGCCTGGCAATGTGATTTTCTGGGGGAAGCTTCGCGTCTTTGTACTCCAGGTCCCCAAGAGCCTGCGATTCGGCATATGACATTCCAGACATGAACTGGCAAGAGCATCACTGGTTCAGGATCGATTCGGTCCTAGATCTGTCAAACAACAAGTTCATGCAAAGAAAAGGAATGCATTGCTGGCGTGTTTTTGAAACCATCATTCTCCTTCGCACTGCATGGCAGGTTGCAGGTTGCACCAAGCATCAGTTACTGGGTGCCAACATGCCAGGGCATCATCATTCACGGACGTGCTTTGCCACGGCGAACCCTTTCCCGGAAAGGTGTCTTGATTTTCTGACGCCAAAGACTTCTAGATCTCTAGATTTGAGCCCTTTTACCTTCCGAGTTAAACTCGAAAACGCAGCAGTTCAACTTCCGACTTCCATTTCCACAGGCGGTGTGACGATCGACCCGTGGCGGACCCTTGAGAGGCTCAGGTCCCCGTTGACCTAAACACCATGCGCATCGGCAAACCAAAAGACTCGCAGACTTGCTTTTTTTTTTACTTTTTGTCAAGCTATTCAAATTGTCTTTTTCGTCATTACGATTCTTTTGGTTCTCTTTGCTAATAATAGGCACTAGCCGGTTTTAATTATGTATAATATATACTATATACAGTCATCTGTAAGCAACTGCCCTAAGGATGTGTACTTGAAATGAAGATGAGAGCCCGACCCTGGGCACAGAGCCGCTTTGGACCCAACCACCTGGAAACCAAACGGAACGCGAAAACGAACGCGTGCGTTTTGCAAAGTTGGCCTTTGTTTCAAGAGGATATGCTTACACATAACGCCAATACAATGCCTGGATCTAAATTTGAACGTCCTGACCTGCTTGCTCAATACGAGCACGTTCATCCGGCAAGTCTGGTTTGTGATCCTCATGTTTGGCTTGGTGTGACATGAGGAACAGTGTTCTTCAGAACCAAACAGTGCGTGACATAACTTGGTGATTTCGGTGTGGGCTCCTGTGACAACTCGATTGCAGAACCTCAGTCCAGAATTCATGCAGTTCAGTGACAAAACTGACTATATAAGTGAACTGGGTTACTTCATACAGATGTTCAATAGACACGTGAGGTACTTGGAACCACCATAGCCAATTTGTTTTTATTTGCCGACCATCTCTAGGCCTTATGACTGTCCTGTGGCTACCCGAGCATACCTCTCTCACTTCACCCATTCAATCCATTCAACCTCCAAGACCCACACCGCCACGGCACAAGACCGCGCGTGAGTCGCCACAGTTCCCAACGATCAAGGTTGATGGAGTCACGCAACACAAAACCTCGCAAGCGACGCATGGATTTGAGCAGCCAATATTGAACAAAATGTTGATGTTTCCAACGTCACTGTCCATCAATCAGCATGTGTCAACATCTGTGACACGTCCATCAATCATGCGAATGGAAAAGTACCTGAACACACATCTCGAACTGCAAAGAAAACCACCGTACGCACTGTCACGATAACACCACAGTCATGCGCAGCCAGTGCCGGGTGGCTGCAGTGGTGCCCATCCCCTCAGCAGTTTGGCGTCGGCTCCTGCGACACAAAACGCTGTGGGGAATCAATTAAACAAACAAGAGCCACCAACGTCTTCAGTCTCAAACATCAAACACAACAAACCTGAGAAACGGCAATACGAAAGCCGGCGTTTTTTGTCCACGAGCATGATGTGAAGAGAGATAGTAAAAGTGCAGCGGTAACGGGCCCAGGGCAGCTACAAGGCAGTTGCCAGGTATAGCAATTCAATTTCCCTCTCCGTCAACCGCTACCGTGACAAACGTGCAATCCACGTGCCCAGGTAGCTACATACAATTCAGTTGCCAGGTATAGCACTTCAAGTTCCCTTTCCGTCAACCGCTCGATAACCTGGAGAAACGTGCAGCAATCCACGGATTTGAAGTCTCATTAGTGCTTTGATCTTATATAGGTGTTGAAGAGGTTGTGCATTCACAGCTGCACGAAGCTACAACACATCGGCCTCGGTAAAACTATGTAAAGCTACACCTTACCATGCAGATGATGCACATGAAGAAAATTGCATTTCTTACGTCACCAGCCGCTCAAAAGTCACAAAACCTCCAAAACCTCCAAAACCTTGCTTCCGTGCACCCCTAAACACCACCTAATTTCGAGTTTACGTAATGCTTTCTCGGGCAGACCCCTACTTACTCACTTCGTTCGCCCAACACAACTCAGCTGGCACCTTCTAGGAAGGCAGGCTTTCGTAACTGGTACATGACTGAGCTTATTCTGTAGTCCTTTTCTTTCAGACTCGAAGTGGCAATCAACACCAAAACCGAACCGTGTCAAAAACAATCAAGCAACCAAGCACAGCTGCGCACGAGCGGTCTTCTCTCATTACTTGACCTAACCATCGGCGCAAATTTAGTGATTTTTTCACAATGTGCTTAGAGGTGGCCAACCCCCGATGTACTTCAAGCCCCCAATGATTTCAATGGGGGTGTGGTATAGGAATTCGCACTGCGTAGTTCCACACAACTCTCTGCTACTCAGGTTGTTGACATCGCATGCTTGGTTGTGCTTCGGCCAACTCAAACAAACAAGGCGGAAGTGAGAACTTTCTGCCCTTCAGTGCGGCTCAGGACATGTTCCTGTCGAAAGGTAGCAAAGGATGCTAGGATGCTAGTTCCGGCTTCCTCAAAAGCCTCCATCATTTGACAGGACGGACGGAACTTCCTCACCGCCTTCGTCATTCGTGTCTAAGGGGTCTGCAATCGAAGGAGCATACCCCTCATCATCATCGAAATCTGGAGCCATCAGATAAGGAAAGATCCTCTCCGCTCTTTGATTGGAATCATGTCCTCCTTGAGGGTTTGCCTACAGCCTTCTCAAAGCTAGCAACGCATTCAGCATTGTGGGCGGACGCATCAGCATCACAACCTCTGCATCCAGGGCCTGGGGCCCATTTTCAGCCTTTGCTTACGATAGTAGAGACTCTTCGAGATACCTTCTTGGTCTCAGGATCGCGGTCAACAAAAAATAGAAGTGGCGCTGCTTCAGATTCTCTAATTCCGTGCGTTCCATGTTGGCAAAGGTTTCCAAAAACTTTACAGCAAGATCTGACAAAGGAAGTGGGATCCGATTCCCACAGGTGCACTTCACGATCAGGTTCATGAACCACGGAAACTTCTGTCCTTCGCTCCAGGCTCGACAACCTATCAGCTGAAGCAACCAGAATACTTCATACCATCAAGCAATCACCTAGCGCTTAGAAACTCTGCGCCTAAACTGCAGGTTCAAACGCCCGCTACGATTGCCTTTCATTCCAAACCCAGCCTGCACACATTCTTGAGCAAAAACACTCTGAGCAGTGAGCAGGCGACCCCTCTTTCGATTGACACAAGACGCAATAAAAGTGTCTTCGTGGCACTGGTCCTGACACCTTCTGAGTGCACTGTATAATTTTAACCAATGACAGCCCTTCGCCTGACGAATGAGCTCGGAAGCAAGCCAGCGATCAAGGAATCAACATTGAAAGTTTCACGACGCAACAATTGCTGATGTCAGGCTTTGCGATTTGGAGGATGAGACCAGTCTTCCAGCCCAGCAACGATACTCGGTTCAAGCTTCGATCATGCAAGCTACTGTCATGAAACCCTGCGCCAAAATCTTCATCAAACCCTTCAGGCTTGGTCCCACAAACACACTTCCGCCAAACTTGGAAGAACAACTGCTTCGTACGTAGAAGCAATCGCTTCCACCAAGCCCTCAAACACTCACAGGCGAAGAGCCTGAAGAAGTTCAAGTCAGGACCAACCTGGTACTCATCAAGCTCCACGAGATCGTCCCGAGTACTCTCTCCGATCTCATAGCACCCTAATCAAGTGTGCCCAGGAGGGGTCGCCGTGAATACACTGCCGCCCGAGGAACTGTAACGCTCTCATCAATGCAGATGGCCAAAGGCAAGAAGAAAGCTCTGGCGACGCCCTCGGCGTCCTCGCCTTTGACGCTGTACCGAATCACCGGCGCCTGATCGCTTAGAACCCCTTTTTCCTCAGCGGCGTAAGGGATGTACGCCTCTTTCTCACAGCTGAGGTGCCCACACCTTGCGCTGGGGGACCAACAATCAACAAGCCGATGCTGATAACTACTTGAAGTGCAACAAAAAATCCACAAAGGACTCAACAAGCACAGCAACGTGCAAGCGGTCTCTTCCTCATTACTTGAGCCAAAAGTCAGAAACTTGGGGAAATTGCTTTACAATAAAATGCTTAGAGGTGGCCAACCCCTGATACACTTCAAGCTTAACTTGTTTCCTGTCTTTCTTCTTTATTCGACAACTTCAACCTCAAACACAAAGCGCCTGATACAAAACTTGACTGATTGGTGTGATATGCGCCAACGCCATCTGCAATGCAACTCCTTGAGGATTTGGCCAAGGCCGAAAGCCTACACAAATACCAAAACACAGGCTTGTTTCTCTGAGGAAAACTGAGAAGCTGAAACGTTTTCGGCATGACATGCAAAGAGCACCGATATCAAGCTCTCGCTCTCTCTCTCTCTCGAGGGCCTAGGGCCTAGGTGGACTAGAAAAATCCAATGCGGGCACCTTAGCCTTCCTGTTGGTCAAACAACAGAGCGCATGGGGACATGTCGCGTCGCCTCATCGAATGCCGTGTTACTTCATTTCATGCCGTGCTTGTATAGTCGACCTTCCCTAAAGACGTGCAGAGAGTCTTGACCTCCTTATTATCGCTAAGTCTTGTCCTCCTTTTCTTTCTTTCTTGTCCCCCTTCCAGACAGAATAATCCTTATCATCCGCATCTTCCTTATCCTCCCTCCGGGTGCTTGACTCGACATGAGTTGACGTGCCCTCAAAGGCCCTTCGATATTTCAAATCAAGCTACTCGATGTTCATGGCGCTGTATGGCGCATGCACAGCATACGCATGCACATGTTGTTTTTAAACCGGCCACTAGATGCAAATTTCTGAACGCTTCACAACCGAGGTCGAAAAAGAAGCAAACAGCGAACAGCGCCTCCTGATCTCCTTCATTCCTTGAGGCTCCTGCTTCAGCTTCGCAACACAAACATCCAAAGGGTGGGTCCATAATAGCTTTATTGCTCCGTAGCGTGCTTGCTCCCAGTAGTACGGCCAGGAGCCCCAGTAGCATTCTTGCTCCCAGTAATACGGCCAGGAACCCCTAATAGCTTTATTGTTCCTACTACAAAAAATGTCGCGTCTTATGATGCTTTGTTTGGCTTGCCTTCAGCAGCTGATCCATCTCGACAAACTCAGCAGGCAAATAGCGGGACAAGCAACATGGCGATGACAGAATCACCAACCACTATTCTCAAACCCGTCACTGCTGCGCCATGCTTGGCAGATTCTAGCTGATACGGGAGCACCTTGTCCTCTAGTCACCCTGTTTTGCAGAAACCCTCTTTTGCTGCAAGCTTGAACTGAAGATCTGTGCTTCCCGCTGCTTCAGCCATTGCTGCACCCTCACAACAAAAGCACTGCAACACGCAAACGGACAAAACAGCCAAAAAATCGTTCACGGAACTACGCAGAAGTCTACATGATCCAGTTGTTCCTGCAAGGAGAAATTCCAAACGTTTGGAGTTTCCAAACAGGCACCCTTGCAGTTTTGATGTAATGCGCGTGATGCGCATCGTGTCCTTACCCTTTCCGTTCCCGAAATGCCACAGCCTGATGGAAGCAACATTCAACTTTTCTCTACTGCTCAGAAATCCCGACCTAGTCTTGACATATCTTCTTTCTGAAGCGTGCTGCTAGCAACTCTAATCCTAATACTTCTCTGGAAACCTCCCACTGCGTTTACCTACACCTTGACAATTCTCCCCTTTCAAGCACACTTTCTACTGAAATCCCTGGAAACCTCCATACTGTCCATATTTCTGTCTTTCAATGAAGTGCAGCCACCGCGCTATCCTGTGAAAAACTTTATTTGTCTGTCTATCAGTATGTTTCTTTGAAGGCAATGTCACTTTATATCTTTTACCTGTCGACAAGAAGTTTCCACTTGGCTAAGCTTGACTTTAAAGAATCTTACTATCCCGTACTTCGCTCTGTAGTTAGGAACCTCCCCGCTTTGTCATATTGCTGTGTACTCTTCTAAGCCGGTTCTGTGGAAATCTGCCCTTTCATGCATTTTGGTAGAAATGTCTGATCTATCTCTGTCCTACTTTGCCAAACAACCTTTGTTGATGCCGGACGTCAGTAGTCACACTTCGCAACCTGCAGGCCCATTCTCCGCCACACATGCACATGTCACAAAAGACCCCTTTCAAAAGCTGCTCTGCCCCCCAACGTAGTAGCAACGGCCTTCAACCTAGTAGCGCTGGCCCCCAACCAAGCAGCGATGGCCTCCAACCTAGAAGCGATGGCCTCCAACCTACAGAAGCAACGGCCTTCAACCTAGAAGCGATGGCCTCCAACCTATAGAAGCAACGGCCTTCAA